AATTGCTAGAAGATCGCAAGCAAAGGCATCGATGGTCGGTTTATCCACTCGAAGGCACAGTCTGCCTTTCTGAACCCCACCGCAGGCCACCCAATCTGCGTCTGTGTCTTCCTTCCGATTCAGCCGCACCCTCTCGGTTGCAAGGTAACTTTGATTCATATCTCTCTTCGTCAAGCAATCCTTGTTCGCCGTGTATTGTCTAAAAGTTTCCATTTGGACTGCATTTCGAAACCCTAATTGCTTTAATCCCTCGCAGTTTTCAGCTTCAAGATCGATTCCGAAACCAGGTCTTAAGAGCTTGATCTAGTATTTTCTTTTCCTGGGTTTCTATTAGACAGAAGGATGTCGGTGACGGCTGGTGTTAGTGATACCATAATTGCTATTAGGGATAAGCTCAGAGGTAAAATTGGTCAGACGAAGGTAAAGAGGTATTGGCCTGGTAAAGCGCCGGAGTGGGCAGATGATGCTGATGAAGATGGAGATATTAGGATGGCAAGGGCTGCTGCCTTGGAAAAAGCTTTCCCTACCCAAGAAGACTCGGATGTTGTTAGGAAAGATGACCCTAGGCTGCGTCGTTTGGCTGAGAGCAGGATAGATAATCGTGAAGAAATTAGGGCTGATCATCGGAAGATTCGGCAGGCTGAGATTGTCTCCACGGAAGAAGAGGAGAGTAGGAGGCAGGAATGGTTGGATGCAGAGGAAGAAGATGAGGATGCTTTGGAGGAAAAGAGGAGAAGGATTAGGGAGAGAATGCTTCAGAGGCAGCAAGAGGAAGATGTACTACTTCCAGAAGAAGAGGAGGAGGAAGTTGAGGAAGAAGAGGAAGAGGAATCTGAGTATGAGACTGATTCAGAAGAAGAGCATATAGGTATTGCGATGGTCAAGCCAGTATTTGTACCGAAGACTGAAAGAGATACTGTTGCTGAGCGTGAGCGTCTTGAGGCTGAAGAACGGGCCCTGGAGGAGGCTGAGAAGAGGAAATTGGAACATAGGAAGGTGGAGACAAAGCAGTTGGTGGTTGAGAAGATCCGAGAGGATGAGGAAATTCGGAAGAACATGGAATTAGAGGCAAATATTGCTGATGTAGACACTGATGATGAAGTTAATGAGGCGGAGGAGTATGAAGCTTGGAAGGCTAGAGAAATTGCTAGGATCAAAAGGGACCGGGAGGAAAGAGAGGCAATGTTGAAGGAGAAGGAAGAGATTGAGAGGGTGAGGAACATGACTGAGGAGGAGAGGAGAGAATGGGAGAGAAAGAATCCCAAACCTGCTGCACCAAACAAACAAAAGTGGAAGTTTATGCAGAAATATTATCACAAAGGTGCTTTCTTCCAGGCAGAAGCTGATGATCCTGCTGCAACTTCTGGAACGGATGGTATTTTTACCCGTGATTTCTCTGCTCCAACTGGAGAAGATAGGATGGATAAGACTATATTGCCTAAGGTCATGCAGGTCAAACACTTTGGTCGTAGTGGGAGAACCAAATGGACCCATCTTGTCAATGAAGATACAACTGATTGGAACAATCCGTAAGTAATCCTGGGATTTCCCTCTAATTTAATGCAATCCTCTTTCTTTGAATTACTCTCGATTTTTTGCTAAACATGTACTTCCCTAATGTTCATATGCTGTATTTATGGTTCAGTTGGGCTCACATTCATCACTCATGGATGTCTATTGTGCATCATGTTCATGTTTCATATTTCCATGTATTTAGAATCTATTATTTTCGGTGCATGGTCACAGTTCCATAAACAATATGAACATGGCTGACGATTCTAGTTATATAAGCTTTGCAAAATTGTCTATAGAGAACTTTTTGGAAGGTAGCTTTAAACAAGATTTAGAGATATTGAATTAAGATGCAGGTGTAAGTTTGCCATATTATCTTGTGAAAGGAATGGGTGTCTAGACTGTTGAAGCAAAATGAAGTTATTGATGGTGCTCTTGTTATTATAATTGAGATAATATTTGTATCCTGTGCGTATGTCTTTTCCATTAACCTTTTCAGGGAAATTTTTAATATTTGTTGCATTCTTCTGAAGCCTTCCCTCTATCAAATTGACCTGATTTCAATTTGTTCACCTTTGCATCTCTTTGTAACACTTCTTTACCTAAACATTTGAAGGGAGTAGAGTAATACAGGCATGAAAATAGCCTCTTACAGGTTTTTGCAACTTAACAGAATCATTTGTGTTTTCTTTTTCCATATATTTTTCCATTTTTTCCCCCACCCTTTGTTCTTGTGATCTTGAATATGTTGTAGAAGAATCAGATGTCTCATTTATTTAAACTTTTTTTTTATACCTAGTCTTGAGACCTTCCTAGCTCTCTTCTTGGCTAACATTCACCTATATTTTCTTGATTTCTTTTCCTTTATTAGATGTAACTCTTCCTTCATCTCTATTAGTTCGTTATTTTGTATTTTATCATGGTTGATAATACATGCTGTGTCCCTTTTGGTGAAAGTTTATGAATTTTGTTTTGGCTTTTAGTGGAGCTTTTTGGCTATGTAATTGCGGAATTGTATATAGCATATAGGGTATTAGATTTCCTTGTGGCTTAAGAAATTGGGTAGATGTAGCAGATGGACTGCTGAATGGAGAAGAACAAAGATACAAAGGGTAAGGAAGAGAAACCAAGTTACAAAGAGTGAGGTTACTGGTAGGAGAAAGAGATCAAAATACTTGAGAGAGAAATAAGGTGGGAGGAAATGTGGTAAAAAATAAAAAAAAAAACAACAAAGCTTTGAATAAGATAGGAGTGGATTTGGTCTGGGCTTGGTTTTGGGTCTAAATAATTGGGATTAACTCAATGATTATGTGGTTTTAGACTAACGCTGTAGATAAAAGGTGATCTCTGGTGTTTTTGAAGCCTTCATCCTTGCTCTTTAACAGTCATTTAGGTGAATGCGTTAGTGTAAGATTTTTCTTAAATTTAACTTGGTGATGATTCAAATCGACTTAAACAAAATGAAATCTGGTCAGACAATGGGTTATTTTTATAAATTTCTTGTAATTTCTGAACAGAAGGGTGTCTTGTTGTGTGGTTTTCTTTGGCATCTATTTGTTTACACACCTTGACTTTTTTGTGAATAATTTGCAGGTGGACCTACAATGATCCTCTTCGAGCTAAGTACAATGCAAAAATGGCAGCGGTGAATGCACCCATGGCAAAACCTAAAGGAAGCAAGAAGTTAAAGGATTGGGAATCAAAATGAAATTATTTACTAACCTGTTTAGGCACATTCTGATGCTTATATCTGCTCTTGAATGAATAGATTTGTGATAATTGTACTTGTTGGAGATTTTGAATGGCCTGCATGTGCATTGATATTTAGAACAAAATTGGTACCCGGGGAATCATGCAATTGATCTTCAAAATGATAATGATGATGATGATTAGGCCTTGGTATTCTCTCAAGATCAATTTGCATTTGTTTGCATTGAACCAGTGTGAATTTGGGATGGTGAGTTTTTTGGCTTATATATTTACCCTGTTCAAGTGAAAAAGGTCTTCTGCTAATATTTAAAGTTTGGGGATTTTTTTTTTTATCTTGCGCTTTTTATAATAGTGTAATAAATGTATATT